TCGCCTAGTACCAGCGAAACGACGCTCCTCGTCGCGACGCCCGTGAGACAAGAGAAGTAGAAGAGGATGCCTGACCATCTGACGAGTCTGTCCCCATCCAAACAACCTTCTCCGTCACAAGACCCGAGGACTTCTACGTCCCCGACTACATGCAAGAACCATTGTCGAAGCACATCAGGTGGGAGCACTTTCCCTCCGCCATGGTCATCAATGGTGGAGAGTTCAATTACCTGACCATAAATTCAGCCAAGAGGAAGTTGGACGAGTTGGTCGACACGCCCCCTCTTAAACGGTGACTTTTGAAAAGGTGAAAGGTAGGTCAGAACCTATCACCTTTTATCTCGAACAGCTCCCCGGAGGGTCCCCCAATTCGGTCATTCCTTTGCTGATAAGAGCGAGAATGGCCAACTTTAACGTACACCGCGTCCTCGTCGATGAAGGAAGTTCCGTCGATATACTGTACAACCAACTGTTCTGAACCCTGCAACTCGACGACTCTCACCTCTCACCTTACGTGGGGTCAGACCTGCAGGGCTTTAACGGCTCAACTTCCAAGCCTTGGGAATACGTCGAGCTCATGGTCACGTTTGGCAAGGATACGACAACAAGGCAAGTCAAGGTGCGCTTCCTCGTCATTGATTGCCCATCCCTCTACAGTTGCATTCTGGGAAGGCCGACATTAGCGGAGCTGACTGCAGTACCCTCTACCGTTCATCTGAAAATGAATTTTTATACCAAGAGGGCACAGGTCGCCACCATCCAAGGGGACCTCGCAGCTGCCCGAAGGTGTTTTAACGCGGCATCTAAGGGACGTGATACGGTCGACACCAGCATAAGGCCTGCCAAGAGAACTGCAATGACACGACAAGAGCCTCAGAGGACATAGCCCGTCAACGAAGAAGAGGAGAGAACCCCTCTAAAGGTCGACTCAATATCCCTGGACACCCGCTTCGACCAGGATGAGCCTCCTAGCAGCGAGCAAGTCCCCCTTCGACCAATTTTGGACGGGGACTTCGAACTCGTCCCCCTCGACGAAGACCCAAGCAGAGGAGTGAAGATCGGGACCGGACTCCCCGACTTAGCAAGGAAGAAAATCAAAGCTTGCTTGCGCGAGAATACATACCTGTTCGCGTGGAGCGCCACGGAGATGCTCGGACTCGACCCCGAGGTCGTCTGTCACCTTCTCGCCATAGATCCCGCCGCTAGGGCAGTAGTACAACATAGATGTAAGCAGTATCCGGAGAAAACGGAGGCTGTTGAAAAATTTGTAAAAGACCTCCTAGAGGCAAATTTTATTTCTGAAGCCCGGTATTCAACCTGGCTGTCAAATATTGTACTAGTCAAGAAAAATAATGGAAAGTGGCGAATGTGTGTTGATTATACTGATCTTAACCGGGCATGCCCAAAAGATGCATTTCCTTTACCTAACATAGATATGCTGGTCGACAACTCGACCGATTATAAAATATTGTCGTTTATGGACGCCTATTCGGGCTATAACCAAATCCCAATGGCAATAAGCGACAAGCATTGCACCGCTTTCATGACCAGCTCGGGCAACTATTACTACAACGTAATGCCTTTTGGTCTGAAAAATGCAGGAGCAATGTATCAAAGGATGATGAACAAAGTATTCCACAACCAAATCGGGGATATTTAAGAATATGATCAGTTCGACATAAGTTTAATGTTTAAAAACTGTTGTTGATCACAAGGGTAGTTGGTTGTGGAATTTGAGGTTTGGACATTTGAATTTTCGATCACTCAATCAGCTGATTACTCAAGATATGGTATTTGGAATTCCAAGTCTTGAGATGCCTGCAAAACTTTGTGAAGGTTATTTAGTCGAAAAGAAATGCAGAAATTCTTTCGTTTCGACTATGCCAATGAGATCATCATGCATTCTCGAAGTTGTACATTCAGATGTATGTAGAACTTTCAAAGAACATACCATTGGTGGAAATAGATATTTTGCTTTATTTGTCGACGAGTTCAGTCGAAAGCTATGGATCTATGTGATCCATAGAAATGACGAAGTATTCAAAATCTTTAAGAGATTCAAGATACTTGTCGAAAATCAGAGTGAGAAGAGAATCAAAGTTCTGCGAATAGATGAAGGTAGCGAATAAACTTCGAAGATGTTTGAAAAATTCTGTGTAGAACATGGTGTTGATCATGAGGTAACTACTCCTTATACTCCTTAACATAATGTAATTGTAGAAAGAAGAAACAGAACCATATTAGATATGACGAGATGCATGCTGAAGCAAAAGAATTTGCCAAAATCCTTATGGGGAGAAGTTGTTTCGACTGCAGCGTATATTTTGAACAAGTGTCCTACAAAGATATTAAAGAATAAGGTTCATGAAGAAGTATGGAGTGGAAAACGACTATCAGTAGTAATTTGAAGGTGTTTAGCTCTATGTGTTACAAGCATATTCCTGATGCGAGAAGAAGGAAGCTTGATGACAAGAGTGAACCTATGACTCTAGTAGGATATAATAAAATTGGTGCATACAGGCTATTCAATCGAATTAATGAGAAGATTGTGTTGAGTAGAGATATTATGATTGATGAAAATTCTACTTGGGATTGGAATTCAAATGATGCAATTAATAACCCATTGATGAGTTGTGAACTCGACGAAGAAACTGATGAAGTCGAAGTAGAAGATATTGTAAATATTTCAGTCGAAGTTGAAGAAGTTGCTGACATTCTAGACAATGTCGAAGTCGAAGAGGATGTGGCTGAAACAAGCCAAAGACCTCAACAAAATAGAATTCCTTCAACAAGACTTCATGATTATGAAGTGGTGTGTGATGATGAAGTCACGCCAGATGGAGAATTAGTTCATTTTGCTTTACTTGCAGGTGCTGAACCAATCAACCATAACGAAGATTTAAAGATTAAATTGTGGAAGTTAGCTAAAGTCAAAGAGTTACAGGAAATCGAAAGAAACAACACATGGGAGTTAGTCGAATTTCCAGCACATACAAAATCTATCGAATTGAAGTGGGTGTTCAAGTTGAAATGCAATGTTGATGGTTCGATAGAAATACATAAAGCAAGATTAGGATCCAAGGGTTTCTTCAAAGAGAAGGACTTGACTACTTTGAAGTATTTGCCCCATTAGCAAGATTGGAGATTGTTCGACTAGTGGTAGCATTAGCATGCAACCAAGATTGGTCGACATTTTATTTATATGTGAAATCAACATTTCTTAATGGTCCTTTAGACGAAGAGGTTTATGCCACGCAACCTCTAAGGTTTGTGATTCAGAAGGAAGCGAGTAAAGTATATAAGTTGCACAAAGCGCTCTATGGCCTCAAGCAGACACCTAGAGCATGGAACAAGAAGATGGACTCATACTTAGTCGAATTACGATTTGTAAAATGCAAATCTGAGTATTGTGTTTGTGTTCAGGTTGTAGCATAAGATATAACAATCATTTGCTTGTATGTTGACGACTTGCTTGTAACTGGAAACAACTTGGAGAACTTTTCGAAGTTCAAAGAGCTGATGATGAAGGAATTTGAAATGTCGGGTCTGGGAAAATTGTCTTATTTCCTAGGTATGGAATATGTAATGTCAAAGTAAGGTATGATGTTACATCAAAAGAAGTATATCAAAGAGATACTCAAGAGATTCAAAATTGATGATTTGAATCCTGCATCCTCACCTGTCAAACTAAAAGTGAAGTTGGAGAAGAATGGAGAGGAAGACAAAGTCGATGCAACTTTGTTCAAACAAATTATTGGATCTCTGAGGTATGTGTGCAACAGTCGACTTGATATAGGTTTCACAGTCGGATTAGTAAGCAGATATATGAGTGAACCAAGAGTGACACATATGAAGACTGCAATAAAAATCCTGAGATATTTGAAGGGTTCAATAAATTATGGAATACTATTTCTACGAGATTCTGAAGGCAGAGAAGAAATAGTTAATTGTTTTTCAAATATTGATTCGTGTGGAGATATGGAAGATCGAAGAAACACAACTAGATATTTCTTTCAAGTATTTGGTGCCCCAATCTCATGGTGTTCGAAGAAGCAACTGGTGGTGGCATTGTCTTCGTGTGAAGCTGAATAGATAGCAGTATCCTATGCTATTTTTCAAGCAATTTGGATCAGACCAGTACTTGAAGAAATGACTATCGAAGTGAAGAAACCTCTTGTATTACAAATCGACAACAAGTCAGCCATAAATCTGACGAAGAATCCAGTTCTGGATGAAAGAAGTAAACATATCGAAGCTAGGTTTCACTTCTTGAGGAAAAGGTAAATCGAGGTGAACTTGAAATTAGGCATTGCTCGAGTGAGGCAGAATTGGCCGATATTTTCACCAAAGGTTTAAGATCGATAGATTCTTGAATTTGAGAAAGAAATTAGGAATAGTTTAGATTGACTATATTAGAGTATGTTCGACAACTTGCATTATGGGGGTGTTGAAATATTAAAATAAATTTGGTAGAATATTAAATGAAATTTGATTAGATCTAAGTTGTTTAGCCCAAACCCAATTAAAATTATATATAAATAATCTTAGTCTGTATCATTATTTGTAGAATTGAATAATATAAATCTTTATTTTCTTTATTATTCTCTCTTTCTCTCTTCACTAAAAGTGTCTCACGCACTAACAAGATAAGGTGACTGCAATTTTGATGTGCGGAGAAATATACCATGCTCTGGTCTAATTGTCACAAATCTAATAAACACGTAAAAAGTTACCATAGTCCATTCAATGCACATATTAATAAAAATTTCCCAAGTATATTAAAATTAAACAAAACAAAGTTAAATGAAGCAAACATGCTTACTCCATTATTGAAATAACACAAAGTACATTTGGATTGATGATAATTTAGCAAGATGACGATGTTACCGTGATTTTGTTAAACTCATAGTGGTTCCAATTATTAACATAAACAATAACTATAATAAAAACAACAGTGAAAATAGAAGTAGCATAAGTATCTGTACTTATAACGTGAAAGTCTATGAGCATTGGAAACCAGAGGGAACTGATTTTTGACAAGCACTAAGTAGAAGACTGAGTGTGACAGGAACATTCAAGTTGATACCAAGAACATTAGCCTTAATAGCAGTACAAAGGCATATTGCTGCATCCAAATCAGCCAAACCTTGAATCAATGCACAACACTTGCTTGAAGCAGGACTTCCAACAACAACATTAACAAGTCCAAGAAGATCAGTACAAACACCTAGCTTTAAAGTGTCACTAGGACATTTTTGTGATGTTGAAGGAGTAGGAGGACTAGCCGTAGGTGTTGTTGAAGAAGGTGGAGTACTAGTGGTAGGTGTTGATGGAGTAGGAGGACTAGCCTTAGGTGTTGTTGAAGGAGGTGGAGTACTAGTGGTAGGTGTTGATGGAGTAGGAGGAGGACTAGCCTTAGGTGTTGATGGAGTGGGGGGAGGACTGGTCTTAGGTGTTGTTGATGGAGTAGGAGGAGGACTGGCCTTAGGTGTTGATGGAGTGGGGGGAGGACTGGCCTTAGGTGTTGTTAAAGGAGTGGGAGGAGGACTGGCCTTAGGTGTTGTTGAAGGTGGTGGAGGACAAGGCGTAGGATTTTTCGAAGGTGGTGGAGGACTAGGCTTAGGTTTTGGGTTGCATGATTCACAAGCATGTGAAAATATGGTATAAGAAAGAAGAGAAAGCAATATAATGAGTGCACTAAGCTTGTTGAAAGCCATTGTTAAGAAATAAAGAACTAATATTTTGTGTGTTTAGATGTTGAACTATGGATGAGAATGAAAGAGGAGAATTGAACTATATTTATAGGAAAAGAAATAATGGTTTCATATCTTAGTGGCTGTTAAAGTCTCTAGAAATTTCTACTTTCTATAGTCACTAGCAACTTAGATATTTTTTCAATTACCTTTTTTTTTTCTGTCAGTGGTGTTAATATGCTAGATTTTTGTTACCAGACATCTAGAATGATATTCTTTTTAAACCGCTTTATTCAACAAGCGCTGTAATAGGATAGTTTATGACATTGTTTTTACAAACAAGTGCTTTAATTAAGTGTTAAATGTTAAATATCTAAGAACGGTGATCAAATAATCTGTTATGTAAAATTTTGAAAAGAGATGTGGCGTATTAATTTCTTAAAAATTCTTTTACATTTTTTATAAAAAAAAAACACACATATATATATATATATATATATATATATATATATATATATATATATATATATATATATATAAAAAGAAGGCCAATAATAAAAATAAAAAAAGAGATTGGTAATGTAAAATAGGTACCAAAGCAATCCAACAAAATCAAAACCAAAACATAAAAAAAACAACTATACAACACAACCACTTATTCATAATAACAAAACAAAAGTATTAATACCATTATAAAAAAAAAAAAACTCGCAATTGCGACGTAAAATACATCTCACAACGTGAAAAACTATGTCACAATCACTAAATTGTGATGTGAACAATCACGTGATTGGGGAATGTGTGGCAAATTTGTTGCGACGTAATTTTTATGTTACAAAATTGTGACGTGAAAATCACGTCGTAATTTGTTTGCACAAAAACCTGAACGTTATAGTGGAAACAGACATAAGAGGCGCAGAGGTCAGAGCAACACTTATTTGCCACGTAATTTTCAAGTCACTAATTTATGACGTGAAAATCACGTCACTAATTATTTATATTTAATATTGAAACGTTCTATCCAACTTTTGTTTTTTTTATAAAAATAAGAAACCAAAGAACATTTGCTAGAGCTCCTCACTCAAGTACCACTAAAAATGACAACCAATTTCTCCCGAAGCAGCAAGAACACGCTAAGAGGAGGCCAAACACATTCATACTGCTATTTCCTCATATATCGGATACGGTTCTCGAGTCATGCCAAGAAAGTAAAGGAGTTTCTCTCGAGTATATTAAGATACTATTTTCAGGCTAAAAGAATACTCATGTCTTCTACATCCTTCACAATCAATAATTTATTTGAAAACACTATATTATTATGAGATTTTTAGATGGACCAAACCATATTATGTCAAATTATCTCGACGTAATTTGTTATTAAAATGAATGTCCGGATGTCTCTAGCCACTCCATAACATGACTTCCTCTGCTCTTTCATCTTTAAGGCTTTATTGGCAAGTTTGGAATAGAGGAGCATGGAAGACTTCCGAAAATGTATTTTTAAATAAATATAGAAAAATATTTAATATTTTTATAAAAAAAAAATTTTTTTTGTATAGAATTATAAAATAATGTTTATTATTATTATATTTTTTATTTTCATAATATTATAACAATTTAAAAGATATTTGGAAAATTTATGTAAGTCCTCCAAAACTCTCATTCAATATAAATTTTGAATTCCTCCAAATTAAAAATGTTTTTGATGTTATGAAGAAAAATAAACTTTTTAAAACCCTCCAAACTAAATATTTCTATTTTTTTCACTCAATCCTTTTTATTTATTAAAACCTTTCTCTCCAAATTCTCAAAAACTTAAGTATTTACTCAGAGTGTGGTAATAGGAGAGTTGAAATTATTAATTTTTAAGTTTAGTTTAGTAATTTGGAAAAGAATGGAGGAAATGTTTTAAAAAGGGAAATTAAGGAGTGGAAAAAATAAAAGAATTTGAGGTGAGAAATTTTGAGGGATTCATTTTAATAAAAACAAAATTTTTAAATATTTCTTAAAATATTATTATCCCAAATTTTTTATTTCCACTTCCCTCTAATTATTTATCTCAATCCATATTTTTGAAGAATTTTCATTCAATATATAGAAGTTAATTTTTATAACTTTTAATATATATATATATATATATATATATATATATATATATATATATATATATATATATATATATATATATATATATATATATATATATATATATATATATATATATATATATATATATATATATATATATATATATATATATATATATATATATATATATATATATATATATATATATACAATTTTTTAAATTTACTTGAAAATAAAAAAGTAATTGTATTTTTCATTAAAATCTTGTTTAATTTGTAAGACGAAATCAAATTTAGATACTGCTTAAGTAGTCGTTATAAAAGTTAAGCTTTCCTAAAGATGAGGGAGAAAAAAGTAGTAGCAGAGTTAGAAAAGGGATACATCATTACAATCATATTGACAAGTTGTTTTCTTTGACAAAATACATATGTGACAGACGTGTTTTTTTAGTACATAATTGACTCACGTTGTGATTGAGATAATTTGCAACCAGTTCAAAGCCAATTATGCTCAATTAGAAAAACGTTGCAACCAGTTCAAAGCCAATTATGCTCAATTAGAAAAACGGAAATGTTTGTCTTATTTCGAATTTTTTTTCAATAAGTCATATTTTTGAAATGAATTTCTTAAAATGCCACCGTTTAAAAAAAATTATCCAGAATACCACACTCAGGGGGTTCACGCCATTTGAAATGGCGCGAATGTGGGTAGTAAGGATTCACGCCAAATTAAATGATGTGAAAGGTCTGTTTATTTTTTTTCTTCGTTTTCTTACATTTATGTTATTTATATTAATAATTTTAATAATTTAATTTTTTATTAATTACAAATAATTTAATAAACTATTTAGTTATAAAATTAATTAATAAAATATTAATTTAAAAACTTAAATAATTATAAACTTAAAATAACTATTTAATAATTATAATATAATAATTTAAAAAAAATTATTAAATAATAAAATATCATAATTACAATCAAAATGCTAAATAAAAAAATACAGTTAAAATTTTACAATTACACTATTTAATGCTGATGACCCGATCTGAAACGAGTACCGGTAAAACAATAACGCGGTCGCGGAGCACGATGACCAAAACCATATTGTTTTTCGGCCTCTGTTGTTGGAGGATTTTATTGTGTTGCATCTGATGTTGGAGGATTTTCTTGACTAGGAGTTGTAGCTTGTGGAGGAGACCAAATGCTTTCCAGTAAATCATAATCATTGACGTTAAGATCGTCGCCAAAATTATATTGCGGTTGTTGTGGCGGACACATGATTGGAAAATAAGGCGTTGTAGGGTTATGTTGGGAGGAGGAGGAATCGAAGTTTGGTCGCATGATGGGTGTGAATTGTGTAGTTGGCCTATTATAAATTTGTGGTTGTTGAGATTCATAAATGTAATTTGGTTGGGAGTGAGATTACGGGTATTGGGTGTTAAAGGTTTGATTTTAGTAAAAATAAGGGGCAGGAGTTTGTAGTTGAGAAAAATGAGGGTTAGAAGTTTGTTGTTCAGGATAATGGGGGATGGGTGTTTGATGTTGGGAAAAGTGAGGAGTTTGTTGTTGGAAGGATTGAGGATGAGGAGGTTGAGAATGTTGTGAGTGGTGAGGTTGTTGAGAGTCACTTGCCTGAGTAGGGGCATATTGATTTTGACGAGGGTCAGTGAGAAATTGTTCGTACGATGCATATCTATGTGGAAGCGAGTGATACCATTGTATGTACTCATTTGACATCCAATGTAAACAATTCTCGATGCAACCAACAGTTTTGTTCATCAGAGTATAATGTGGTATATGCTTTTTGGCGCGCTTTTATTGTTGTCATCTTATGGTTTCTACAATATGAAAATATATTATATACGTAGTTGAACTCCATATCAAACTGTCTTCGTGCCTTTGGGGGGCTAATCCAAAATACGGCCTCCAAATAAACTGAAAAGTTATAGATAAAACTTTTTAGTTTAACCAAAATAAAATTCATAAATTTATAAGAAGTATTAAAGTGAAGACAAAAAAACCTGATCTTGAAGCATGTGATCAATCCTGAATCGGTATCCTTGTAGATGGTGGCGCGAGTTGTTTTGGTAGTCAAGTTTCTTGATGCACCACCTAAAAAGAATTTAAAATTAAACTTTATTTTAAAGTATCCTAACAATTTTAATTATAAATTTAAATTAATTAAAATATTACCTTCTTGCGTAAGTATATGGAGCTTGAAGCGGAGCCACCGGAGATATTATAGGCAATGCGTGTAAAAGCCGGAGATATTATAGGCATGCGTGTAAAAGCCCAAGCTTGAAGAAGTAAAACGCATCCTGACATCTCTGTTACTTTTATGTCTACAGACTTGCACATTTCCCTATATATTGGCTAAAACGGCGGAACCCCAACTCAATTTTCCATAATCTTCCAAATCCACAACAAATTGTGTCCATTTTGAGTGTATAGTATTACTGCTTTTGTTAGGAAACAAAACTTTCCCGATAAGGAGTAAGATATAAATACGAGCATGTTTAATTTTATACTCCTCAGGTGACTCCTCGGTTGGTGGTTCATGTTGGTACATGTCTTTAAGCCATGTCAACCTCTTACAACAACCTTCTGTAGTGGTTGCTAGTCATGCAACAATTTCTCCCAGGTATCGTCATAGATCTTGAAACACTTCCAGTATATTCAAATGAAGGAACACAAATTGGTGGTGCAAGAATTTTCCATCACCTTTTTTGGATATTTCAACCTTGTATTAGGGGTTTCGCACATTGTAAACCTATAGTGCAAGTAGATGGTACATGGCTGTATGGAAAATATAGGGAACATTGCTCCTGGCTGTTGCACAAGATGGGAATGGTAACATTTTCCCAATGGCATTTGCATTGGTCGAAGGTGAGACAGGGGGCTTGGAGTTTCTTTCTGAAAAATTTGAGACTCCACGTCACACCCCAATCAGACTTATGTTTGATATCTGATCGACATGAGTCCATTAAGAGTGCCTACAATAACCCGGATAATGCCTGGCAGAACCCACCCTCGGTGCATGTGTATTGCATTAGGCACATCGCACAAAACTTCATGCGAGCCATCAAGGACAAAAACCTCCACAAGACAGTTGTTAACATGGGTAATTACTCTCTAATTTTTAACATGGCATTTTAATATATAGTTATTTTATATTAATGTTTTTAATGCTTTTACGCAGGGTATGCAATTAATGAGTCTACATACGCATATTATCGGGAGGAGATCTACCAAACAAACACAGAGGCTTTTAATTGGATAGAGAACCTTCCAAGAGAAAAATGGTCGCACGCTTACGACGGAGGAGCACGATGGGGTCACATGACAACCAACTTTGCTGAATCTTTGAACTCAGTATTGAAGGAAACCCGAAACATACCTATTACATCACTTGTAAGATCAACATACTACAGGATGGGAACATTGTGGGGTAAGCAAGGAAAGGATTGGACAAAAAATTTGTCATCGGAAAAGGAGTTCACAGATAACTGCATGAAAGGAATTGCAGAACAAGTAGAAAAATCTCACAGTTATAATGTCTTGGCTTTTGACCGTGAAAGTCACTATTTCGTGGTTCAAGAGACGGTTAATAATAGGAATTGTCGGCCACTTACCCATTTCAACGTCAACCTCCAAACACGAACTTGTGACTATGGGAGATTTCAAACTTTTCATCTGCCTTGCTCACATGCTATCGTAGTGTGTTCTCACATTAACCACGACTATACTACGTTTATTCCTGACTTGTATAGAGTTATAAACGTCTTCAAAGTTTACATACAAAGTTTCCTCGGTGTTCCCCAAGAAGATAGTTGGCCTCCATATTTGGGCGATACTCTTTTGCATGATGAAAGGATGCGATGAAACAAAAAAGGTCGCTCAAACAGTACTCGGATTAGAACTGAAATGGACATTGTTGAGAAAATAAAAAGACGATGCGGTATTTGTCAACAACCACATATGCGGAAAAAATGTCCGCATCGCCTCAACAATGCAGGCCCTTCTAACTAATTTTATCAATATATTGTTATTTATAACTACTTTTAACTGTATTTTTTTATTTAGCATTTTGATTGTAATTGTGATATTTTATTATTTAATAAAAAAATTTATTATTATATTGTAATTGTTAAATAGTTATTTTAAGTTTATAATTATTTAAGTTTTTAAATTAATATTTTATTAATTAATTTTATAACTAAATAGTTTATCAAATTATTTGTAATTAATAAAAAAATTAAATAATTAAAATTATTAATATAAATAACATAAATGTAAGAAAACGAAGAAAAAAATAAACAGGCCTTTTACGTCATTTGATTTGGCGTAAGCCCTTGCTGTCCACATTTGCGCCATTTCAAATGGCGTGAACCCCTCCTGGGTGTGGCATTCTGGGCAATTTTTTTCATACTGTGCTATTTTGAGAATTTCATTTCAAAAATGTGGCATATTGGGAAAAAATTCTCTTATTTCTGTGAATTAGAGATTAATTATATATTTGGATTGATCTATTTGAATTTATTTATTGACATAATTTTTTGTGATATTATTTAAGATACAATACTAAAACAATTTAAAATATTTTTTATAAACTTTTTAAGATTTACTTTTAAAAATTATCTGTTTGAATTTATTTATTGACATAATTTTTTGTGATATTATTTAAGATACAATACTAAAACAATTTAAAATATTTTTTTATAAAATTTTTAATATTTACTTTTAAAAAATATCTGAAAGAGTTTATCTTTTGTGTGTGTAAGCAAGATGATATATAAAGAAAAACTAAGGGTTCTCTAACCTGTTTACACAAAAATCTGAAAAATTCTAACAAAAGATTCGAAAAAGTTTATGAAAACAAACGATAGTTAATATAAAATATGTAAATTTATTTTATCATTTGTTATTAAAAAAAATTATTAAACTTATTTATAAGTGTTTTTTTAAGTATTTGTGCAATAAGTTGTTTATCCAAATATAATATAAAAGTTAGGTCCTCTGAGGATGCAATTTTCTTCTTTTTTACAAATATTTCAGTTGAAGTTATAATTACTATTATAAATAATATATTTTATGACAAAACTTTAACAACAGTGTTGGAAATCCACCAAAATTTATGGAGAATTTTATCAATCTTGATAAATAAGATTGTTATCACCACACAATCGAAAAGAAAAATTAAAGAAGAAAAGAGATTTAGGGTTTCTGCAGAGTTTCTCTCTGCCCACAAATTGTGGAAAACTTTTTTATTCACTTGCAACTGAAAATTCTATAAATATTCAATGTCTTATAAAAATAGGGGTTACTCTCTCTATTTATAGTTTTAGGTTAGCTTTCTCCCTAAGTCAAAAAGCCCAAAATATCTATTTTGGATCTAAATCAAATCTGTGTGTAACGACCTACTTACAACACATCGACGGACTAAGCTAATTCGACACACTTTGTGTCAAGCAACATCCTACTTCGACACAAGGAATGACACTTTCAACAAACTTCCCTATCTGTATTATTAAACGAATTATTAAAATGATTTTTTTTTGAAATATTAATCCAATACTTGATGAAACAATTAATATAGAACTTAATTGAAATGCACTGACAGCGTAAAGAAATTTTTCACAGTCAGTTAATCTAAAACATTGAATATTGGAGAAAATTAACTTTTATTTCAAACAACGTATAGAACTTAATTAAAATGTACTGACAACACTTTTACTTGAGTTCTGTTAATTTTCTGCCTCAGTTGTTTTTTGTACTCACATAGTTTCATTATATTCTTTTTAATTAGAAGTTTGTTTAATTGAAACATAAAATGGAAGGTGATGATTGTAGCGATAAAAAATGTAGCAGGGTAAATCGGAGATCGAACTATTAATTAATTCGTCTCACAAAAGCAAGAGTCGCCACCGCGCTTTATTATTTCCAAGGGAAAAGGGAAAAGAGCAAAATAAAACCCTAAAATATGCAATGTAAAATAATACTTTAAAAGTAATGAAAATACAAGGCGTTTTGAAAAGAGGTCTAGAGTTCGGGGATTTGTTATACAATGGGAAGGTATTAGCACCCAATGCATCTATAGTATCCTATAGGAACCTTTTGAAATATCTGTTTATTAAAATTGTTTGTTTGATTAAAATAGTTTGTTTGGCTAAAGATGGGTGCAGATGAGATTTTGAAGAGACGACGACCTAATGTCGAAGTTTTGACTTAAAAGGTGTGAGTTTGAAAATTGAATCTTTTGGGAAAATTATCTTAGGTTTAGCGAAATAGTAAACAAACAAAAGATGAATGGGGGTATTCGCACAATTGGAGGAGATGTGTTTGATAACATGAAGTCAACAAAGTTAAAACATTTCCCTTGGATTAAATCGAGCGAGCAAAATAAAATAGACATCAAAATATAAGCAATCAAAATTCACAAGAAAATAAATATAACAAAACAGATTAATGACCAAAAGGCATCGAGAAATTAAAATGACAAAGATATTTAAATAAAAGAGAATTGAACTAATTATCTAAATTAAAATTCTAAGATTACTTACTAGAATAATTCTACACTAATTACAAATTCTAAGGTTATAAAAATAATTCTAAAATTACTAAATTAAATCTAAACTAAATT